CAAACACTTGAACTTTTTAGGTAGGGACCCCTTTGCACTTACACCATGTGCGCAGTCTTGGATGAGCCCCTGAACCCCTTGGACCGCGGGGCCCCCAAATGCGCGGGGCCCTAGGCAAATGCCTAGTTTGCCTATGCGGTAATCCGGCCCTGGAGGCGACTAACATGCTGGGAGTAAGGGACTAGTAACCCTTTCTCCTGTATATATTACTAAAGTTAAAAAGAGAGACTTGTTTTTCTTTTTGAGCCACCTTGCCTCGGTGGGATACAGCCGGTTTGTTGAAAGAAGAAATAGTGCTGTTTATGGTACATAATAACATATCTTAGAGAGGATGCCAAATGTTTGTAACACTCTTTTAGTTGTGTGTAGAATGTGGGTGATAAATTTCAAGTTGCTGTCAAGGTGCAGACCCAAAAATTTTCCCTCAAGTTTTGTAATAAGAGTACTATTAATCATAATGTTTAGTTGGACATTACTTGCTCTGCTCCCAAACAATGTAGAAGCTTTTGTCAAGTTAAGTGAGAGTTTATTGGTAGTCATGGGTAGTTGATATTTGTAAGAGCTCTTCATTAACAATGTTGTTGAGTGATGCTGGATCTGGGTGGGAGATGGCAAAAATTTTGTCGTCAGCAAAGAGAACAGATCTAAGTTGTTGCGATACATTTGGAAGGTCGTTGGTGTATAGGAGGGAAAGCATGGGGGCCAAGGATGCTTCCGTATGGAACGCCAATGTCCAGAGGTCTTGTTGAAGAGGTTGTGTCCTTAATGGAGATGTATTGCTGTCTGTAAGGTAAGACTTTATATATGAAAGAAAGCATGACCTGTGATACTGTAATGATCAAGCTCGTGATTTAGGATGTTGTGGTCTACTGTACCAAAAGCTTTCCTCAACCCTTTCAGGGTTTCGGATGTACTAGTACGGCTTATACACCAGGGTTTTTGACGTACTAGTACGCCTAAATTCTAGCGCCCTCAAATCTAGTGAGAGAAAGCTGGTAGGCCTACACATGAAAGAATGGGTCTATGTGGTCAGTGTGCACAGTATAAAAAAAAGTCCTGCAACACACAGTGCGTAATGAGAAAAAAACAACTTTGTGTTTTTGGATTAAAACAGCGACTTTGCACTGTACGTATTTTTGTATGGTATTTATTGTTGTATTCTAGTTTTCCTGGTCTCATTTTATAGAATGGAAGACATTACAGAAATTGAGGTGATTCTGACTGGTTTTACAATGAAAAGTACCTTGAAATTGAGCTCAAATTAGCAGAAATGTTCAATTTTTACCAAAGTTCAAAAGTAAACAAATCATGCTAAGCGTCCAATACACATCACCTGGCGAGTCTAATATTTTTTCACAAGTGCGCCGATATTATTTATACCATTTCTACACTAATGCAGTAGTCTACATAAGAGTAAATCTTCTATTTTTTGTGAGAATAAAAATTCAAAGTGGAAAGCAAAAGAATGTAAGAGGGGCATGGGGACATGACTAATGAACAGAGGAAATGTTATTTTAGTGCCAGGAATGTCTTTCTTGTTTATTCTGGACCCTATTTGGAAATTGGAATCTTTTGAAATTTGTGTGAAATTGGCAAAATTGCTAAATTCTGACCACTGTATTGGATAGTTGAAATGGTAAATGGGTGGTTTCTTGTACTCATTCGATAGAAAAAATGGAGTTCTAGCGAAATATAGTTATGACTTTTGTCGGCTAATACACTGGAATTGGCCGAAAATAGGGCTCAACGTGGGCAAAATCACTGATGCGTAAACATCATTGAGACCGCTAACTTCGCAAGAGCATAATTCCGTAAGTTTTCCATCAAATTTCATACTTTTGGTGTCATTATGATTGGGAAAAAGATTCTCTATCTTTTCATAAGAACAAATAATTTTTTTTTTTTTTTTGAAATTTGGGCGACCCTAACAACAAGTCTGGGAGAAGGCCTGGGGACCCTGAAAGGGTTAAGGCAATAAAGAGTTCTAGTGGATATTCATTATTTTCAAATGCTGAGTAAAGTAGTGAGAGAGAGAGAGAGAGAGAGAGCTGACCAGCCATTTGCTTTGAGCTCACCACCTCTGACTGAAATTTTCTTCTCCAAGGTGACATTGACAATCAATTGAGTGCCTTCACTGGACACATCCTTAAGCTACAACAAGAACACATCCTTTACCGGCATTATGTGACGAAGCCTACAGATCAACTTTGGTTCGGCTTTCATTGTAGAGAAGCTGCTACTGCTAAGTACAAGGCTTCGAGAAAGTATAAGAGGCATCCCACTACCTATAACAGGAACCTGCACAGGCAAGCCTGTAAGCTTATGGGTGAAGTTCAAAAGCAGGCCATCTTTAAATGGGAGGCTGACAGGTACAGTGGGCTCCAAAACCTGGTGGTCCTTGGTCAAGGACAGATAACGTTAGCTGCCTGATGAACTTATTCCGCCTCTAAATCGACAGGATGGGACCACCTCTACTAGTAGTCAGGAGAAAGCTGACTTCTTTGCTGAATACTTTGCTGCTAAGATGCAAGTTCCTGATCCAGCAAGGGAACCTCCTTTGCTAGCTGCAAGAACTGTGTCGAAGTTGTCAGTGGTGACTATAAGGCAGGATGAGGTGTATCTTCTTCTTAAATCACTGGGACAAGAAAAGGCCCTGGGCCCAGACAAGTTGAGGCCAAGATTGCTGAGATGTGCAGACCAGCTAGCAGCACCTCTTAACTCACATCTATCACCACTGCCTAGCACAGTGTAAATGGCATTCTCTGTGGAAAGAGGAAAATGTAGTCCCTGTTCATAAAAAGAAGAGCAGAGCAAAAATCAGCAACTACAGACCAGTGTCACCCCTGTCAATCACTGGCAAGATCCTTGAGACAATAATCTCACGGCAAATGGCAAACTTTTTTGTCTACTTCTCGCTTCTTTGTGACCATCAATATGGCTTCAGAAAAGGTTACTCTGCTGCTGATCTGTTGTTAAACCTCTCCACTAAGTGGCACCAGTCACTGGATGAATCCAAAGTCACCTGTGTAGTAGCAGTGAACATTGCTGGTGCTTTCAACCAAGTATGGCATCAGGGACTCTTGGGAAAACTGCAAGCACTGGGAATTGCAGACTTTACACTATGTCTCCTCAGTGACCACCTTCAAGGTAGATCTTTAAGTGTAGTTTTTAGTGGAACAGAGTCATCCTGTTGGGGCAAGTGTTCTACAGAGAAGCATGCTTGGGCCATGCATATGCAGACGACTGTACTCTGATATTTACTTATCCAAGAGAGTAAATGCCAGCTGCTCTAAGCCACATCAATCACCAGCTAAGAGCTATATCAGCCTGGGGAAACCAGTGGTAGGTAACATTTGCTCCTGAGAAAACACAAATGATGATGGTCTCTAGGCACCAGGATGGTAATGCTGGAGCAGTAGTAAGTATAAATGGGAGAGTGTTGGTTTCTGGGGACAAAGTTGATATCCATGGAGTAAAATTTGACTCCAAATTGAACCATGAAGAATTATGTAAATCTTGCAAACAAGGCAGCTGGGAAGCTTACAGCACTTTGACGTATCTCACATCTGCTTGACAGTAAAGGTTGCAAGATTCTGTACGAGGCACAAGTACGTTCACACCTTGAGTATGCTCCCCTTTCTTGGAGTGCCTGCCCCCCATCTCATTTGCGACTTCTTGACAATATAGAGAACAGGGCAAGATGCCTGATCTCTTGCTTGGACCCAGCCTGGATAGATCTGTCATTTCAGCAGAGTCTTCAATACTAGAGGGATGTGGGTGGCCTTCCTGTTATGTACAGGCCAATACTGTCAAAGTACCACACTTGGCTCCACTCCGAGGACAGTGAGAAGTGAGCTTCTACACCACAAGACAGGCAGCCAGCAGCAACTTCACTCTGACTGTACCCTTTTCCAGAATATCACTTCATCTGAGATCATTTATTCCCAGGATAACTTGAGCCTGAAACATGTCTGTACAACATAATGTATGATATCAACAAAATAAAGTCAGTTGATCAAATGAAATTGTTGGCCCACAGATGGCTCCAACTTCATCCTGTTACCTACTTGTATGTCTCATGACAATAAAAATGCTTTTTAAATAAGTTGATGTAGGTAACAGCTCTTAGTTTGTAAATAAAGTTAGGAATCCTTGCCCTAACCTTGTTAAACCCCGTGTAAAAAAAAAAAAAGGAAAAGAAAAAGAGAAAGAGACAGACGGACATAAACAAACAAACAAACACACACATACAAATTTTTTTTTTTAACACGCTGGCTGTCTCCCACCAAGGCAGGGTGACCTCCCCCCCCAAAAAAAAAAAAAAACTCACCATCATTCACACACAATCACTGTCTTTGCAGACATGCTCAGATACGACAGTTCAGATGTCACTCCAAACAATCAATATCCCAAAACTCCTTTAAAGTGCAGGCATTGTACTTCTGACCTCCAGGACTCAAGTACGGTTAGGGGGGTTACTAGCTCCTTGCTCTTGACATTTTAGTCCCCTCTTACAACATCCATGACATATGGGTAAAGGAGGTTTTGTGTGCATGGTGTTTGGACATTCAGCAGGCATGTGTGAGCATGTTAGATAGGGGTGGAACAAGGAGTGTTAGCAAGGTAACATTTTGTGAAGGGATTCAGGGAAACTGGTTAGCTGGACTTGAGTCCTGGAGGTGGGAAGTACAGTACCTGAATTTTAAAGGAGGAGTTTGGGATAGTTACTGCTTGGAGAGACATCTGAACTGTCGTATCTGTGTACCTCTGGCAAGACAGTGATAGTGTGAATGACGGTGAAAATTTTTTTTTTCCGGGTCACCCTGCCTCAGTAGGAGACAGCAGCGTGATAAAAAAATGTACATGGAGAAAAGTGTCTTTTAATGGATGTGCTGTTGAATGTGAACGTGGTAACTTTCATGAGGGGATTATATGGGGTGAGAAAGGAAGACAGTGAGAGGTAAAAATACAAAAGGAAAAATTTAAAGCCTTATATTTACTTGGACAAGAATCTCCAGGTCTTGAAACTCTGATTCAAACAATTCTATAAGAAGACTGAGGACTCTGCTGTGGAGGAGAGGATGAATGGAGACTACCTCATCCAGTAGTGCCAAGTGAGTGGGCGTTGACTCTGTGCAAAGCTTGAAATAACTTGGCTCCTTTACTACACATTCTATCCACCGAACAAGGCCAACACTGACAACTGGGAACCTGAAAGCAAAAGGCTGATTAATGAATGACCCTTGCAGGTCTAGGGTTTTCCTTGAATATAATTATTAAGCTGAAAAATTATGAAATACAGTGTACAAGTATCAAGTTTTTGAGCTGTAATAATGGCACGCCTCGGCAAGACAGTGATAGAGCGAGTGTTGATGAAAGTGTTTCTACTTTTCTGGGTCACCCTGCCTCGGTGGAAAATGGTCGATGTTTAAAAAAATAAAAAGTATCTTTTCAGAGCCAATGATAAGTGACTCCCTATTCATAACTATTCAACTGTAGCTACAAGAGCAAAGCTAAGTTTTAGTGATCCTATCTCCAATATTTACCACAAAAATTTTAAGTTTCCAGGGGTTGTAGCACTTACTGTTTCTTATAAGCATTCTTTTGGCAGCTCTTGTTTATAACTATAGTCTTTTGCTCTGCCACTTGATGGAGTTAGGAATCTGTCTTGTCAATTCTTCTGTGCTTTTTTTAATTTTAAATATAGTTATTTTTTTTTATTATCACACTGGCCGATTCCCACCAAGGCAGGGTGGCCCGAAAAAGAAAAACTTTCACCATCATTCACTCCATCACTGTCTTGCCAGAAGGGTGCTTTACACTACAGTTTTTAAACTGCAACATTAACACCCCTCCTTCAGAGTGCAGGCACTGTACTTCCCATTTCCAGGACTCAAGTCCTGCATGCCGATTTCCCTGAATCCCTTCATAAATGTTACTTTGCTCACACTCCAACAGCACGTCAAGTATTAAAAACCATTTGTCTCCATTCACTCCTATCAAACACGCTCACGCATGCCTGCTGGAAGTCCAAGCCCCTCGCACACAAAACCTCCTTTACCCCCTCCCTCCAACCTTTCCTAGGCCGACCCCTACCCCACCTTCCTTCCACTACAGACTGATACACTCTTGATGTCACTCTGTTTCGCTCCATTCTCTCTACATGTCCAAACCACCTCAATAACCCTTCCTCAGCCCTCTGGACAACAGTTTTGGTAATCCCGCACCTCCTCCTAACTTCCAAACTACGAATTCTCTGCATTATATTCACACCACACATTGCCCTCAGACATGACAGCTCCACTGCCTCCAGCCTTCTCCTCGCTGCAACATTCATCACCCATGCTTCACACCCATATAAGAGCATTGGTAAAACTATACTCTCATACATTCCCCTCTTTGCCTCCAAGGACAAAGTTCTTTGTCTTTACAGACTCCTAAGTGCACCACTCACCCTTTTCCCCTCATCAATTCTATGATTCACCTCATCTTTCATAGACCCATCCGCTGACACGTCCACCCCCAAATATCTGAATACATTCACCTCCTCCATACTCTCTCCCTCCAATCTGATATCCAATCTTTCATCACCTAATTTTTTTATCCTCATAACCTTACTCTTTCCTGTATTCACTTTTAATTTTCTTCTTTTGCACACCCTACCAAATTCATCCACCAATCTCTGCAACTTCTCTTCAGAATCTCCCAAGAGCAGTGTACAGCAAAGAGCAACGTGACAATCCCATTTTAGGGGTTGATTTTTATCTTTTAACTCCACCCTCTTCCCCAAGACCCTCGATTTATTTCCCTTTTTCAACCCATCTAAAAATATATTAAACACCACGGGACATCACCATCCTTGAAAGGGCCTACTTTTGGGGGGAAATAATTTTCCCCTCTTTCCTTTCATATTCTAATTGAGCCTACACCTCGAAAAAAACTCTTCACTGTTTTCAGTAACCTCCCTCCTACCCATACACCTGCAACATCTGAAACATTCCCCCCCTATCCCCCTTCATACCCCTTTTTCCCAAAAATCCAAAATGCCCAAAGACGTCTTTACCTTATCAAAAATACGGCCCACAAAATGTTTCACTGTAAACACCCGGTCCACACCCCCCCCCTTTTCCTAAAGCCTCCTTGTTCATCTGCTATCCTTTTTCCCCATTTACTTTTTAATTCTTTAAATAATAACTCTCCCAACACTTTCCGGTATCCCAAACAGACTTATCCCCCTATAATTTTTGCACTCTCTTTTGTCCCCCTTTGCCTTTATACAAAGGAACTATGCAGCTCTCTCCCAACCCTGGTATTTTACCCTCTTCCATACTTTTATTAAAAATTGCCCCAAAACCCTCAAAAACTATTCCCCCCCTGTTTTTAAAACTTTTTAAACTTTATCCATCAATCCTGCTCCCTTTCCCCCCCTTTTTTTTTTTCCCTACTGCCTCCGAACTTCCCCCCCACTCACAACTGGCTCTTCCCCCCTACAAGATTTTATCCCCCTTCCCCTTTTCACGAAATCACACTTCCCTTTTTCTCAACTTTTAAACAATTCCTCAAAATTTTCCCCTCCTCTTCCCAATACCTCTAATCCCTTTTAATAACTCTCCTCCCCTTTTTTTTTAACTGAAAAATCCATTTTTCCTAGGTTTCCTTAACTTGTTAATCTCACCCAAAATTTTTTCTTATTTTCAACAAATTTTTTTGATAACATCTCACCCACTCCCCTTTGTTCCTTTTTTTTACATTGCTTTCACCACCTTTAAACCTCTCTTTTTTTTCTCCATACTTTTCCTTCCTTGCATCACTTCTACTTTGTAAAAATTCTCAATGAAATTTTTTCTCCTTTATACTCCTTTACATCTCATTCCCCCCAATGCTCCCTTCCCTCCCCACCCACTTTCCTGTACCCAAAAATTTCTGTGAACCTTTAACACACTTTTTTAAACCTACCCCAACCCTTCGCCCCCTTGCCTAGCTCTCATTAGCCCATCTATCCTCCAATAGTTGTTTATATCTTACCCAACTCCCTCCTCTTTTAGTTTATCCTTCACCCTCTTTCCCGATGCTTCTTTCTCCTTGTATCCCATCTACCTTTTACTTCATGTAGCTACAACTGAAAGTGATTGAAATCTGTGCCCTCTATAAACATGTAACCCTAAAAGTCTACTCAACAGTCTTTTATCTACCAATACTAATCCAACAAACTACGTCTTTTTTGCCTCACAAAACTTGTATATTATTTACCCTTTTTCTTAAATATGTATTACTAAAAAACCCCCTTTCTATACAAAGTTCAACAAAGGGCTCCCATTTCTTTTACACCGGCCCCCCAAATTTACATAGAACATAAGAACATAAAAATGTGGAACACTGCAAAGGCCCTCGGCCCATACAAAAGGAGGGCCTTTCAAACGACATCTACCTAAAGCTACTCAAGAAATAATCCCCGTACCCCTTGCCCCAAATCAAACCCACCCCCCTACTCATATTTTTTGCCCGTTCTTCTTAAAGCTCCCAAGGTCCTAACCTCTTCACCCCACGGGGGAAGACTTTTCCAGCATCTAAAAAATCTGTTAGAAAACCAGTACTTCCTTGCCCTTTCAAATCAAAATTTTACCCAATTTAAAATCCATTTTTCCTTTGACACCCCATACTTTATTAATTCTCCCTTGTTTATGCCCGTCATCCACTTATTTTCACTTCAAATATTCCCCTCATTCTAGGCCCCTCCAAGAGTGGAGATTTTAAGCTTTAAGCTACTCAACGGGAGGTTCCTTAACAGTAAAAACTTTTTTGTCATTCTTCTTGTATGTTCTCTATAGCTATGTCCATCCTGTAGTAAGGGGACCAAAACTGAGCCCGCATAAACAAAAGGGCCTCACAGTGAGTATAGAGCTTAAAATAACTTTTGGACTTCTGTTACTTTTTCTTCTTTTAGATAAATCCAGTAATCGTTGGCCCTTTTTTGCGCAACTGAGGGACGCTGTCTTGGCTTTAATTTTGCTTACCATGACCCAAGTCTTTTCACATTCTGTATGACCAACTTAAATTCACCTAGATTATACTTCGAGGGGTTTTTTTATTCCAAGGGGAAATACCTTTTCACTTACCCATTAAAATTCATCTCCCTTTCTCAGACCAAGACATTAATTTGTTCAAAAAGCCTGGAGTTTTATTGATATCCCCCTCGAGTGAATTATACGGCCCACTTTTTATCATCAGCAAACTACTCATGCATATAATCCCTCATCAAGGTCATTTAAAGTAAATTTTGAACAAAAGAGGGCCTAAAACTGACCCTTTTGGAAAGCCACTAGGGGGGGGGGGGGGGCTAATCCCCTTAGATTTCACTCCTTTTTTGGTAACTCTCTGCTTTCTATTGGTAAGCCATGCCCAATCCTGCTAAACTTTCCTCCTTACCATGGCTGCCACTTTTCTTTAAAAGTTCTTGTGGGACTCTGTCGAAGGGTTTACTAAAATCCAAATAACAATTCAATTCCTTATCACTTCAAAATGCCTCAAAAATTCATTGAAGACGTCAGTAAGTTGTCAGGCAGGAAAAACCTCTCGTGAATCCTGCGAGATTCTTTATCAAGTTATGCTCTTCAAAGGGGATTCTGATAATGAGCTATAATTGATTCTAATAATTCCCAAAGATTCAGGCTTATTGGGCGGGGAATTTGAAAGGGGTGGGCTTATCCCCCGATTTGAAAAAAGGAAACCCCAATTCCATCTCCACATCCTGGCACAACACTGGTAAGGATGGACGCATTGAATACACTCGTTAATGGCTGCTAAGCTCCCCTGCTTCCTTAAGTACCCCTTTAAAAAAAAAAGGGCCCGGGGGCTTTTTTTTTTCAGTTTGTCTATTTTGTTTTAAAAACCTGTCCCCCTGACAGTAATATTAGTTAACTTTTAAAATTTTCAGAACTAAATAAAAGTTAATTCGGGAAACTCATTTACACTTCCTGGTAAAAAATGACAAAAAATTGTCATTTAAAAAAGGAAAACATTTCCAGTTCTTTATCCGTCCTTCCTTCCCAGTTTCAGAGGTCCTACTTTTTCCTTCACCTTTTGCCTATACACTTGAAAAAAAACCCCTTTGGGGTTAGTCTTTGATTCTTAGCAATTAAATTTTATTCACGTTGCCTTTCTAAACGCCTTTTTTATTCTCTTTAGCTGAACATTTTGGTCAGTAAGGTTAA